CAATAATGAATCCTTAATGTCAAAAGAGAATCTCAGTATTTTATTTTTTTATACTATTTAATATTATTGTTAAGATGTTAATATAATTATATTTAGAATTATTGTAAATATTTTATATTTTAAAATATTTTTTTATATTCTTATAACATCAATAATGAATCCTTAATGTCAAAAGAGAATCTCAGTATTTTATTTTTTTATATTATTTAATATTATTGTTAAGATGTTAATATAATTATATTTAGAATTATTGTAAATATTTTATATTTTAAAATATTTTTTTATATTTTATATTTTAAAATATTTTTTTATATTTTATATTTTAAAATATTTTTTTGTAAACACATATATATAAGTCATTGTACACAAAGTATTATTCAAGAAAAGAAAGCAATAAATATTTCTTCAAATTATTCTTCTTTTTTTCTGTTTTCAACATGGTATTAAAGCAATAAGCTCCTGGTTCGTTTTTCTTATCATTGCTATTTGGTTTTTGGAGTTGGATTTTCAAGTCCATTCTAGATCTAAAACTTTGTCATTGGGATCTCTTCTCCTACAAATTGAATTGTTTGTCCATTTCTCATGTCCTTTTTTATGTATGTTGTTGGTTTGTTATTCAATCTTGGCATCTATTTCTTCATTTTTTTTTTTTAGATTTTTTTAGTATTGTGAGTTTTATTGATTCTATGATGAGTTTTGAAAGGACTGTAACTCATCTTGCTATTGCTATGATTGCTAAAGAAGTGATAGACCAACCTACTATCAACCTTGAATCCCTAAAACATGTGACATTAAATCTTTTTAATTCTTTTACTGCTTTATCTACTACTCCAGGTACCAAACCTTGGTATTTTGATTCTGGTTGTTGTAACCATTTGTCTTCAATTACTGCTTATTTCTTTTCAATGTTACCAACTAATTCCTTTCCTAATATTTATTCTGCTGATAGTTTCCCTATAAATGTTAGTCACATTGGTAATATTTCTACAAAGTCATGGACTTTACCAAATGCCCTCTTAGTTCCAAAACTTAGTTATAATCTTTTATCTATTGGTCAATTATGTGATTTTGGTCTTGAAGTAACATTTTCTACTCACAGTTGTTGTATGCAAGACCCACGGACATGACAACTTCTTGAAACTGGTCACAAGGTGGGGCATTTGTTTGAGCTCAACTATCTACATATTCCTGATAATAAATGGGATATACCACCATTTCCAAATGACCGATTCATCCAAACCTTGCTTTGTGTTGTTGAATTAAAGTCTTTACAAATTCCATACCAACAAATTTTGCAAGCTTGTGCTGCTACTAACGTTTCTCCTCTCCATTTGTGGCACTCACAGCTCAAACATATCTCAATCAGTAAACTTCGTCCACTTATCTCTCGTGGCTTATTAAGATCAATTCCAAATGAATCCTTGCATTGTGTGTCATGTCAATCTGCAAAGCAACCAACTTATCTTTTTCGAGTAGTCATTCTCATTCTACTGCTCCTTTTGATCTTGTGCATTCTGATGTTTGAGGTCCGTCTCCTACA